CTTTAAAACGTCGCATAAATAGCCAATTAAATTGTCACAGCACTTATAAACAATGTCACGCAAATCAATCGATACATATTATAAATCTATAAAGTTTAAATTATAATATAGTTCTCATTATGTATATATTTTTTCATTCTCAATCAATGTGTCATTTTTGTATTACGTAATTATTTTTCTATTGTTATAGGTTACTCTTGTAGACCGATCATTCATTTATCAAAGTTACCAAATTTCAAAATTACCGTTCAATCTCATTCGTGTCTTCCTCACAAAACGTGACACTGGCAGAATGGATTGCGTCTGTTAACGCAACTATAAGCCATTATATATATATATATAAAAAAAAAGAAATTTATATATTTACATCTAATTTACTAGTTACTAGTGTTCGCCCATTGATCAAAATTCAATCATAATCAGTATTCAAAATTTAAGTAAAATATATATGAAAATAATTTAGTATTTACCCATCTAGGTACATATATAAAGAAAAACTTTTTCTATTTTTTTTTATTGACAGCACTAAAGGTTATCAATAGCTAATAGGTTCGCCTCTAGGAAAACAAAAACAAACCTATCCCACGGGAACCGTACATTTTTCCGGTATAATAAGTAGCCTATAAGTTATTCCAGACTATAATCTATCTCTGTGCCAAATTTCATCCAGATCCGTTCAGCCGTTCTGGCGTGAGAGAGTAACAAACATGCATACTCACAAATTTTCACATTTATAATATGTATTAGAATAAATATAGATTTACGTGCGCGTAGAGTCAGTTTCTGTAGGTAATATCGACTATCTCGAAATGATTATTTTTAAAACAATAGGTCATACTCAAGGGTGGTAAAGATATCAAGAACAAACGAATAATTATATTAATTAAAGTAAGTACCTATATAAACATGAAAATATTGTTTTTCAAATCAATCATAATATACGGTCAAAGTGATAAAACGTTTTCCTGACATCACGAAGTAATTACTTTAGGCTATTAATCAATTCGAAACTATGTATATGAACTTTATATAATTAACATAAGGTTTGGTAGCCACTATAGGTATAACCAATGTACGGATACTGTAAATAAACAAACAAACAACAAATAGTAAAAACCGTTTTCATTCAATATTCGGATAGTCTAGTCTTCCTAAACATTAAGTTAACTAAGACCAATTTAAACCTAAATTTTAAAAAGAAAATGTAAGGCAACAGCGCCATCTATTATCCACAAAGATAACTATTTCCATCCATAACACGAAATCAAAATCGATCAACAGAGCGTGCTATAAATTGCGACGTATCTGTTCTATCGCGTCTCCAACAATCGACAAATATAAATTTGTCACCAGTCACTGGAAAAAGCTGAGCAAGTTTATAAATAAACAATAATACAACCCTATTTGGTTTGTACACCGTAACATTCGAATGTCGATTTTGATGATAGTGCAGCCCGTTTATATGATACGATGTATTGGATGATTTTAATTATTTATCTGTTACATATCGATTATTTATATCTTCATTGTTCTCAGATAAACAATTGTAGCTGATATATAATTGGCTAGACTTACGCGCATCTGGTATTATGAATCTATTCTTCCATATTAATATAATTTCTGTTAACCTCTTTGGAATTAAATTTCTGAAATTTTTTTTTATTTACGACTAGATACTCTGATAACCTCGAATTTCGTAGGGTCCAACATTTTGAATTTTGTACTGTACATATATTAAGTATATATTAGTTTGCCGTTGAATTTCAATAAATACATAAATGTATATGTTTAAAAAAATAATGCTTTCATTTTGGTATGTTCATTAAAAATAATTAAAATACTGACACACATTTAACATAAAGTACGAGTATATATAAAATAACTAATTTTTAACTAAGAAGTAGATTGAGAAAGTTTAATTTTTTAACCTTATATGTCAAATATTTCTTCAAATGTCAAAAAAAAATCCTAAAATTTTTGAATTTTTGAAATTGCCGAGTAAATCACCTGACAGACAAACACACAAAAAAACAGGAATTAAAAACTCCTCACTTTTAGAAATCGATGAATAAGTAATTTAAAAACGTACATATAACATTTTAATACAGGTAAATGTAATATGAACAATGAAAGTAACATGTAAAGGGGCTTTCCATCATAAGGCCGTATTAATTCATCTGACGAACGATCAACTCACCGAGATAATGGCTGATTTATAATGATTATCATATTATTATACGTGAATCATCCTAAATCATGGCTGCCCGCTTTTTGCGCGGTTTGATGACCTAGAACCGAGACGGATATGTTTTGAGTTTTATAAATTTTCATGCGCTTGCCCATGTGATAAAAAGCTCGTGATTTTATTTCATAAAACTCTATAAGATTGAATGAATGTGATTTATTTTAAAGGCTTTCACATTTATTGTTCGCTAAAATATTCTTTATTATGAAAACGTATAAAACTTGCAACAATAGCATATCTGGCATATATACAATTCAGTGGCGAGGGGTGAAATTTTAGCAGAGGTAAGCTGTTTCAAAATATACAATTTTTATATATTTATATATTATAATTTATTTATATACCAGCAGAACCCGCGGCTTCGCTCGCGCTAAAACTGCAAAAAATGTCTAAAAGGTAGGTCTTATACAAAATTTCATCCCCAATTTTATCCCCTTATGTGATGAGTTTTGAAATTTTTTGATAATAATTGTATTGAAGAGCAATTACACCAAGTTTCAAGTAATTCTGATCATACATTTCTTTTGGGTTATATTATAACGTGTTTTCCCGTGGGAATGAGATAATCTCCCGCGGTAAAAAGTAGCATATATCACTCTCCAGCCCTCCGACTATCCCCACACAAAAAATCACGCCAATCCATCACTCCGTTTCGATGTGAAAGAAAGACAAACAAACAAAAAAGAACAAACAAACAAACAAAAAAAGAAACAAACAAACACACTTTCACATTTATAATATTAGTATGGATTATTTCCAAAAGAATATTTATACATTTAAAAATTAAATGTATGTAAAATTATAGTAAAATAATTTTAAGGTAAGACGCCTTGTATGGACCTTTCGCTACTTACGTAGATAGGTACATATATTATATAACGATTACAAGCTAAAGTAAAAAAATACCACTTTCTTTAAAACAAATAGACTCGAAACTCGTTCAAACTTAAAAATAAAACAGTCATTATTTCAATAAACCGTATCTCCTTCTCAATTAGACTCTGCACCCACTAATCTCCACAGATAACGTAGCAGTATTAACCACTTGCCATAATCGAATTTATTTAATCGACTCTTATTCGAATCATCGAGTTAAATGATAGTGTTAGGAGTGTATCGTGAGAACTGCTTTTAATTATTTCATACATAATACATATAACTTATAAGTATTGAATTGTAAAAGCTTGTATTTTTTATCTAATAAATAAAATAAATGTATTTTAATTTTCTTAAGGTTTAATTATAACCTGAATCTGATGAAGGTAGTGGTAGCCCAGTGGAATGCGCTCACTTGGGAAACGGAGTGACATGTCAATTATTTCCAACATTATTATCATTTGTATTATAAGTTGAAAGCAAACATCGTTATGAAACTTGCATATGTGAGAGAACTCAGCAAGTTTTCGAAGTCCGGCATTATGTACATAATAAAATAAGGTTTGAACACTAAACTGTAAATTACTTTTATATGAACATAATAATACATAAAATATTTAATGCACAGTATTAAAACACTAACTATGCAAGTAGTCAGTATTTAACAAGCCATATATCGAGACAATAATTAATCTTCCAATAGGTGGATGCGCAATTACAAACCAATAATTACCCATTGAGAGCTTTTAAAATCGCGTCGATGCCTACATCTCAGCGATGCCGTTGATTCTGTACTCTTACAATGAAATAGCAACGTATCACATTATCCCGAGTTACAAGTCAACACAATTAGCTAAGCACCGAAGCATCCGACCGAAGTCGAATGCAAATCGCTATCTTTATGGTTAAAAGATTACATTGTTCGAGGCCAATACCTTATCTTTGTATCTCCAATTCCATTTAATTTATTGCAATAAAATAGATAAATGGGATTCGAGACGTCCGCGTTCCGCAGATCGGGCGGTGAACGCGAAAGCATACCTAGTTGATATTATAACAGATGCATTGAGAAGATAACATGCTAGGCATCGGCCATTTCGTATTTATAAATTCCATTTATAAATAGTCCTTTGGTTATAAAGTATGTCATGTGTTTAATGAATAGATTTTTTTAATTAATCGTCAATTAAGATGTCTGTATCTCATAGGCATATTACGGTATGTTAGATTAACTACAGCATAAACACACAAATTTTATATCTATCTTAGATTTACGCAAATATTTGACATTTTAAATAAAACTATCTTTGCGGATTCATTTGGATTTTTAGTTCCCGACGTTTCGAATGCTTTACAGCAATCATGGTCACGGGAGAGACTGAGGTGTTACATGTCTCGAAGGTATAGTTGTTACAGACAGCCTACTCACAAATAACAAAATGAAAAATTGCACCAACTTTAAACATTTTTATAATTTTAATTAGTTTTATAATTGAATATGGAATATTATTTATTTAATTTTTGCTGTTATTATTATAATTATTACAATTTTAGAAATATTAATTAGTAATCTATATTTAGTGTTGCCATTATTATATTTATAAACATAAAGAAAAATATATAATATAATATTAATTATTTAAGCCACATAATTGTTCCATGTATAATTTAAAAGGTTAATATTAATTTTACTACCTATATAATATTAAAAAAAATGATCAACCATTTTTTTCTGCAAGTTTTACACGATATTTCCTAAGATTGCTCAAAAACTAATAATCATTATTGTTTACAAAAACAAAAAAACTAACACAACTTACTTAACTTACAAAAAAATATATAAATATAATTTTCAATTGAACAATTAATTTTTACGCAGGGTTTCGAGAAACGGCATTCCTGTACGCGTTGACTGCAGCAGGTGTAGCCCATGCTATCGCCCGCGCCTGCGCGCAAGGTCGCATACTATCGTGCGGGTGCGACCCCCTCGGGTATCGCGCCTCACATGACAAAGGGCGGGTCAGGGCGAACAAGTGGGAATGGAGTGGATGCTCCCATAACCTAGCCTATGGAATAGAGTTCTCTAAAAAGTTCTTAGATGTAAGAGAACAAGTAGATGATCTGCAGTCGAAGATAAATGTGCATAATAATGTGGCTGGAAGATCGGTGAGTACTATCGTTTCGTTGAATATTTTTTATCATAATATATTTTTTTAACAATTTCATGTTAGGCATGAAAAAACTTCGCTTTTTTGTAGTCGGCTTTTTAATTTTTCATATTTTACACTTCTCTTTAACTGTGTATAGCTGTTATTTTTATTTCATACTAGCAGCTTATCCTTACTTCGTTAGCCTCTAGAAAACAAAAACAAATGTATCCTACAGGAACCGTACATTATTTCTGGAAAAATAAATAATCTATGCGCTATTCCAGACCATAGTCTATCTCTGTGCGAAATTTCATCCAGATCCGCTCAGCCATTCTAGCGTGATTGAGTAACAAACATCCATCCAAACATCTAAACTTTCACATTTATAATATTATGTACTTCAGCCCCAGTTTTCTTTGAGTGAGACTTGAACCCATGAACTCCAGCGTAGAGTTAGAGACCGCAAGTGAACAGCAAGCGGTCGTATGTATAATTATTATATTCACTCAATGCGAGATTCGAACCTATGTCATCCTCGTTCAATAAAATGTCCAAATATCTCTTCTATTTTATTATATACTAGCGGACCCGACAGACGTTGTCCTGTCTACACGTCTCTAATTTGAAAATTTCAAACTTTTTTTAATATTTTTTTTGATGAAAATTATTATTCAAATTGTGAATCTAAACCATTCCCAGATCCCCTTGAACACACACAAAAAATTTCATCAAAATCGGTCCAGTCGTTTGAGAGAAGTTCAGTGACATACACACTCACAGAAGAATTATATATATAAAGATGAGAATGAAGATATCATATATGAGAAAACGTATCTTAAATAAACAGATTATTAAGAATTTAGTACAAGCTTTCTATAAATAGTGTACACTCGTTGGAGGTAATTTAAAGACATCAGACGTTTGATGTGATTAGACGGGAACAACAAAGCGTCAAATGACACCTCTAGATGCAGAGACTCTTCAATCCCTTTATTAGATGCACCACTGCATAACGTTGGCTTGATCATGGTGAGGGTGAATACGAAATCAAAGACGAAACTCGTGATATGGGAGAAAGGAATTAGGTACCTTAATTTAAAATGTACTGGAATAGATTTCATAACAACTGAAAACAAATTAGTATGATGATTATATTAATTGTACTAAGTTATTAATTTAGTTAGAATTAGAATCGATTTATAGCTGTAAGTGGCACAAGACAATATAACGAATATTTATCAATATTATCGATAATCAAAAAACAATTATTACACATGTAAAAAAATTTTTGCCTAGTTACTTAGTTTTATATTAGTATTTTTGCCAATGTTTGTGGGGTGGGCGCTGTATGCCGTAACACAGGCTTCCTAGTACAGCGAAAGAGGCATACGATTAATATTAATTTTTATGAAAAACTAAAATAAGATACAAATGTTAATACACAAGTGTAAACATGTTTTTTTTTTTGAGAAAATAAAGTATTATTTTTCTTATAATAAATAATTTATAAGACACTTCTATTCAAAATGGAAATTGAAGAGTTAAAATGTTGAAACTAATACGGATAAAACAGACAAACCAGCATACTCTCACCCCAAACGCGTCTCCGTTCCATGGTGGGTAAAAACAAAAAAATACACATGGTTTAATTAGCGTGTATTTCCAATATATAAGAGCTCTAACAATTAAAAAAGTCAGATATTTATGGCAACAGCGCTTATCATTATTTCTTTATTTATTTTTTATTCTTATCCCAATATCATCAGATTTCACATTGAATACATAGCTTTTGTGTAAATTCTAGTATGCGATACAAATCAGTGTATACTATATAACAGTGTATATATTCTCCTTTGTAAGTTACAAACCGCACCCCTAACTATTTACCCTTAACGGACTAACTTTCAACTTCCGATAGATCCTAAGTGGTTTAATCTAAGAGTTCATTCCATATTGAGCCACTGAACTGTAGCTAGTACTCATATACTAGACACATTCTGTGAATTCACTCGCGTGTATTACGTGTATATAGACTGAATAGTCTTCTGTCAACTTCCACTGTATGTCGTCATATATAATAGTGATATCAAATTTTCAACTTTTATGATCAACTAGCATTGTCCAAAAACCAAATACTTAGGTTTTATATATTAGTATACTCTGCATTTTTTCTCAGAAACGAGATATTTTCCCGCTGTAAAAAGTATTCTATATGTTGACCCGGATTACCAACTACCACCATACCAAATTTCATCAAAGTGCCTCCAGTAGTTTTCCTATGATGCGGTAACAGACAGACAGACAAAAATTCTAAGAACTATAGATTCGGCCTCTGTATCGATAATAATGTTTATTTCAATAAGATTTTCCAAAAAATATGTAATGTACAGATTCGGCTTAGTTTTGAATTTAATTATATTATGTATAGATTTGAATTAACTTAAGTTTGCAATACTACTTTCCCATTGCAATTATTGAAAAACAATTATTGAGACTTGTATATACATACATAATGTATACCGATATTAAAATCCCATATAAAACGGGGTAATTTTAAGCTATCGTGGACACAGAAGCTTATTATTATATAAAACCAGTCAATCTTACTCGAAATAATTTTTAAGGTGTCCAAAATACCCCAAGGGGATAAAGAAATGAGTTACAACATATTTAGTTCAGGAAGAACGGTAAATGGGCGTGGTATAGTAATGACCTCGGTGGGTGGTCCCGTAGCATCGGTATACTTATAATATGATATAAATAGAATACAACCTCTAAACTTGACTATCTTTTAACATGGCCAGCTTTTGTTAAAATTGACGCTTTTTATTGCGTTTTTAATTAAGTCATTAAATAAAGGGCTGTTGTGGCTCACCAGAATTTGCCGTGCCTTCAGCATCAAGGATTCGATTTTCAGAATGGGAATTTCTTCATATTTGACGACGCGTTTGGCACAGTTTGTAGTGACTCTACTTGCTGTGCCAGCGGTCGCGGGTTTGAGTCCCGCAGGGGCATCCATTTGTATAATGAGCACGAATGTTTGTACTCCAGTCGTGGGTGTTTATATTTATTATATGTATATGTATGTATTTAAAAGTTATATATGTGTAGTTTATCAACTATCTGGTATCCATAACATAAACCTCACATAGCTTACCATGGAACTAGATGGTGCTGTGTGTCAAATGTTAATGCACCATATAAAATGTGTGTTTTTTGGTCCTTCTTTCACGCTGAAATGCAACGATGGATTGATGTGATGTTTTGTATGGACGTAATTGGAGGAGTAAAGAGTGGCATAAGCTACACTTTACCAAGGAATAATGTCATTAAAATTAAAAGATAACTTATTTAATGTCAGTTGACAATAAGTCTAAGTTCTAACATTCATCTCACAAATTCATTTATCTCACGAATTAAAATATTATGAATTATCCAAATATTAACAAACATTACAAATATACAAAAATAATATTTAAGTATAAATAAGTAAATAGATATAGATATACATTTTATCTTAGCAGTAACTTTTGTTTTTTTTTTAATAAAATATCTTTTTTTCTATACGTATATTTAAAAATAACATACTCTACATATTTAATCTGCGGCAAATAAACAATGATCGAAGGAGTCATGGCATGCCATGTTATGACAACGGTGAAGCAGTCACATAAATATGTCGCGCACTGATTTGTTATTGTCAGCTTACTAATCTAACGGTAGGTCATCAGGGACAGGCAGTTAAGCCAAAATACTTGCCCTATCGTACCGGATTACTTCTAATAATTTAATAGGCCTTCCGCTTAATAATAAACATGTCATGGCGATCTTAAACACGCTCTAACCAACTAACATTTGCTTTAATTAAACTGTTAAACATGCAATAACCAGTCTAAATATAATAGATTTAAAGTTTTCATTATTACAACAGAACAGCAAGTAACTAATAACGAATATTATACTTCTGTCCGTAACAAAATCTGACATTAAAGCCGCATACCATGTCCCGTGCTTACTTATTAGGATTTATGAATACGATTTCATTAATGTTAGAAGATTTTTTATAATGCAAACACGACTGATACAAATTGTTTGATTTGTAATTCGTTTATAGTGGTTAATTATATGGTCGAGTCGGGTGCCTAATTTATATTGATGTTATAGCCCACCGGCGATTAGTGACATTTATAGCATTGTAATTAGGCTGTTTCCACACTGTTCTTTAGTTTAGACATAAAAAACACCTGCTAAACACATAATAGGCACTCAATAGAACAAAGAAGTATAACTATGAACATTTTAAATTATATTTAGCGGAAGCGATATTATAGTGTTTTTGTTATACAGTATATTAAATGTTAGTTGATATATCTTCGCACAGACCAAACTGCTGAAATTAAAGGGCTTAGACCTTAAGTTTTGTCAGTACTATAATAACATAAATAATGGACTACCCTAAAAAAGAATTTGGGAAATTCAACACCTAAGGAGTAGAAAGGGTTAGCAAAATTTATATGGAAAGTTATATGATTTGGATTATTTGAAAGAGCAGAGAAGACAATGTAGGCAGACTAGTAAAAAATATAATACATAGTATGTATGATAATATATCAGGCCTCATAAAATATTATTATTCACATTTCGCAGATTTCCGCCGTAAAATTAGATTATACTAATAAAGTAGTCAATGATGGCAACAAATTAACGTTTTAATATATACAATTAGCGAATGACAGCCTTTATAGTTTGGTGGCGATCGTGATATATGCTACTAAAAACTTGTCGCCAGAGATTTAAAACCAATATTTTACTTTTGATCGCGTATAATTCTTAAACTCTTATATAAGTGTTATTAAAATTACATTTTTAATCTATTAACTAATATTAATTTAAATAAAGATGTTTTTTATATCTATATATAAATAGGCAAAGACAAAACAAAACTTTTTTGTTCAGTAGCTACATACATATTTACAAGCTTTAGTGTTATCAATAAAAAAAATAGTTTATATAATT